AGGTTTGCCTTGACTAAACGGAAAGAAGAGCCAGTAAGATACGTGGAATTTCTTGTGGCCGCATTCTGTGACTCTTGCATATACAGGTACCATTGCTGTATTTGGGTTTTGTCCATATAGTACTGATGTATTGTTTTGTAGCAAATTTTCTAAAAACAAAAATGTGTAGATTAAAATTTAATTAATTTTTATAATCCGTCATTTATGTACAGTTTGATGTAATAAAAATTATTTCTAAGGGTAGATTTTAGAGGTAATTTTCAAAAATTAATAGGAACTTATTTTTATCTTTTTACTATTATATGAAGAATGGTCTAAATGAAATTTCGACTGGTCAATAACATATTTTATATTATAACTTTTTGAGTCAATGTAGTTTTTAGTTATAGGCGAGAGNTATTTTTATATTATTACTTTTTGAGTCAATGTAGTTTTTAGTTATAGGCGAGAGAGATGCGCAACGTTTAAGAATTCTTTTCTGTAAATCTTGGTAAAAATAGAACGTTGCTATATACTACTCCGTTCCTAACTTTTCTAAATTCTTAAATGCTAATATCAAAAAATAATATTACAAAGTTGGCTATCGATCATTCGAAATTTTATTAAAACCACTCTTCATTTAATAGTAAAAAAATAAAAATAGGTTCCTATTTAACTATCAAAAGTTACTTTTAGAAATTATTTTATCTTAAAAAACAAACTGTACATGAATAACGAATTATAAAAATGTATTTAATTATTTAAAATTCATTATAGAAGTCTAACTATGAACTAAGTAGCTGAATGTGTACTTAATACACACACGTTATATATTTTTCTTCTTTATCATAAATAAATTCTATACGATGGAAATAATAAACATATTGACAGCCATCCAGGTGATATTTATTAGTTAGTAAGCAACGCTAACGAATTCATTAACTTTCTATGTAGTCACCGCATTATTTATACACTGAATAGTGGATTGAATAATGATGCCACTTAATTAATTTGTTAAATGCTATTAAAATTTAAATATTTTTAGCTTAAACCCAATGCCAGATTTAGAATAAGAGCATAGGAATGGTTTTTCACTGCGTTTTGTAGGTACTAGCGCAATTATAATGGTGTTAAACTGGCCCAAAATAAGATAAAATCCTCTTCTTAGGGTTCCATGGTTATATAGTTAATTTTTATAGTATAATTGTGCAATGACTAAATATAAACTATTCTATTTAGTTATCTTGTGCTTCGTATGATGTAGTTCTGTATTACTTACAAAACTTTTTTTAAGAACTTCAATATGGATCGACTTAATATAGCTTACAAATATATAATAGCATTTTATTTTAAAATGATTTAAAATTAATTATATTAATATTAATAATAATTATAATGTATTAATAAAGTTACTTCACAATCATCTTACCGACTTCGGTCTTGGTCACCAAATACCATGTCTGAGAATTGAGACCCATTGGAAGTTTTGAGTTCATTAGATCTATAGACGATTTTGGTTTGGGTGTCACGTGACTCAGAAAGTCCGTAACAGACGCTGGCATGAATTTTTCGTCGGGTGCTAACCAAACAAGTGGTGCCCATCGACGAACCATTTTTTCCACTAAAATAACAGTATTTAAACATTTTAATTTTACATAAGGAAATTTACAGAATTTTTTCTTCGTATTTTAACGAAACACGAATAAATATTTTTTTATTTGATANTATTTTAACGAAACACGAATAAATATTTTTTTATTTGATATTCATAATTACTTATTTATCACATATTATCACGTTATAATAAATTTAAACGTTGAACAATTTTTATTTTTAACGTTTATAGTATTAAAATGATATTCATAACGTTTTTATAGTAATAAATCTATATAAATACAGTTAAAAAAAAGTAAATAAACATCAGTTTTTTTTTATTCAATCCCTGATTACTAGTT